TAAACGCAAGAGGAAATTGACAAATGTTTCGAGTTCTTGAACGAACGGTCAGAGTACATTAAGTTTAACAGAGAGAAACCAAAAAAACTGGCTCCCACTTCCGAACGTTCAAATTAAGCTCAGCTATACGCACATATATAGTCTGCCCTAGGTCGTCTCCACCACGGTCAGTAGCCGCCTTTAGGGATCGGAAGAAGATCTGCCACCACGCGACTTTGATACCAGCACTGTGGTGGATTTAGATATTGCCTTACTCTTAGCTGGGCTTCCTACCTGGAACACCGGACACCTCAGCATGGGTAACCCTGTCAGGAGAACGAATGCCCCGTTGCACGTCGCGGCCCGACACCCAGAGACACCTCGCAGCTACGATGAGGCCATAAACAGTTGCGAAGCGGGTTGCTTCAGGGGTTTCCAGTTTGAGAACAGAATCGTTTTGCGTTTTTATCCGAAAAGATGCCGACATCAAGTGATCACAGTAGTTCATAAAGGCCTTAATTTTGCAAAGGCAGTAAAATAACGATTCAAATGAATAACTGCCACTGACAGTGCTAATGACAGAAGTGTTGAAAATGTGAATAATATTCTGAACCGTCTTTTTCTTTTATTTGCAACTAAATGAATTTGCCCACCTGGGATGCAAACAGTGTTCTGTTGGTAACAATTTCTCGTGATGTGTGATTATTTGTGTCGTTTTCTTGTTTAGCAATCGCGAGGTTTTTAAACAGCATACATTTACTTCCATAAGAACACAATACAATACAACGCTAGCTGACGTTTCGGCAGTATCGCCTTCTTCAGAGCCGCTTTTTCGTGACTTCCAACTGCGACTGTGACTGTGATTATTTATCTGGTCATAAGCAGAATAACCAGACGTACACGCAGAACAACCAGATGTAACTAAGTGAATAATCACACAATAATCACAAAAATTGTTGCCAACAAAACACTGTTTGTATCGCAGGTGGGCAAATTCACTTAGTTGCAAATAAAAAAGAAAGACGGTTCGAAATGGTATTCACATTTTCGACACTTCTGTCATTAGCACTGTTAGTGGAGGTTATTCATTTCAATCGTTATTTCACTGCCTTTGCAGAATTAAGGCCTTTATGAACCACTATGAGCACTTGGTACTTGCATCTTTTCAAATAAAAGCGCAAAACGTATCTTTTACGTTTTATGTCAGACCCCGCCGTGAGAAATAATAAGCAGTAAATACGAAGTTATGCATCGGAATGCTATCTGTTATGTTTTTTGTTATCGAATTCACTCAATTCAAAATGTTTAGAGATGAGAACATATCAGCTGCTTACCGCAGTTGCCGTGGTGACGCACTATGAGATAATCGATTCCGTCACCAAAACGAGAGATTTCTTCTATGGTCGTGAACGGGACCAGGTAAATAAGTAGCCCATCCTCATAACGTTTTTTTTACAAACGAATCATTTACTGTTATAATAAGAACGCTTCAAGATTGAAAATGGCTCCAGAGTTTCCACTTCTGGTCACAACTTTTTCGTTTTAAAGGAAACATTGACGAAGGAACTTGGATCGCCCGAAGAACAGCCGGACGCTGTAAGTGAAAGCGAAAAGGCGCGGTTTTTAAACTCTCCACAACTCACACTCTGCAATTTTATTAATAACATTGCTTCTTGTAGTCTTTTTTTACAGCTCAAGACAAGAATGTCGTGGTCAGAGAAGGCGGTTGTCGGTCGGTTGTCGGGAGACTCAGAGGAAATCAGTTTCTTTCACTCGATAAAGGCTGCCAGGTGGAATTGAGCATTCAAAATAATATCTCAAAAAACTGAATACACTTTTTCGACGTTTTCTGGTTAGTCACAGCATTTCCGTTACACGTTTTAGGAGAGGAATGCTGTCCACGATATTTGTCATGCGCTTGGACTTCTCAACACGATAAACCGATTTGATCGCGACAGTTATATTCAAATCGTCGCGCGCAATATGAAAGTGGGTCCATGTGAAAATAATATAAGCTGTTTTATTTCGGAGTACTTAGGCCACACATTTAGTCGTCTTTCCTCCGCGATTTCACAAAAGTGCATCCGACATACGCCGAGGTGTATCTACTCACTTACGACTACGGCAGTGTCCTGCGTTACAACGAGCAAGCGTACATCTACGGCTCTTGAGATTTCTCATCAAATTCGCTTGTATTGTATTTTTTAGTTATTCTGCTAACAACATGACTACAATAATTGCAACAAATCCCTTTTATCAAAAGGATATGGGATCTCCAATAATTTCCTTTTCCGATATTTTTGTGATCAACGAACGCTATGGATGCAATGGTCGGACCTTTCAAAATCTTGTGTTAAAACTAACTATCACTGAAAAAATTATAGTCTTTTAGCGAGGTGTAACAAGTCGACATCTGCCAAGTGTTTGAACGAAGGTTTTCCTCATCCTCGAAACCGCTCCAAATGGATTTGACCCGAAGACTACGGCGGTGCATTGTGTGATCGACGTGTAGGAAATGGCACTATATAAGTTAGACAAGAAAACTGACTTTATTCCAGCCACAAGGATGTGGAGAAGATCTCGAGGCAACGAGCAAGAAGCGATCGTTTGCCTACAGGCTAGGTTTTGGAACCGGTCTCAGAGATCAGTTTAATTTTCGCAATTATGCCATCAGGGTAGGATTGTATTAAGTATTGCTATCGTTGAAGCAAAAATATGACTATCCAAATGGCGGAACAGTTAGGCGTATCGTCGAAACCTTTTATGACCATGCTCATTGATGTAAATATGTATGCTGTTGCTCACTCCGGGCTGTGCATCTTGATTTCAATGCGTGCATTTATCCTTGACTCATTTTGCTGCAGTGAACTTTTCTGCCAGAATATTCGCAGAATAAATAGTTTGTCGAACACATAATTTGTGCTTGGTCTGGTTAATGGATAGCTACTATCACAGCGCTGTATTAGCGAGAAGCATACTACGTTTTACGCTTGGACCAGTTCACTCGTCTAGCAAACTCCACAACAGATCTGATCATGCTTACAGAGCTAACTTTAGAAGTAAGGGCACCTTATGTCCACGATAAGATGACATATAACGGAGAATAGTTTATTAACTTATATGTAGAATTCAGTTACACCCAAACGTTCGCAAAGTGCACATTTAGCAGTGAGCAAATTACAGCTTCAGAAACAAAAACGCATTTCCAACTCTAACAACATTTTTACCGCCTATTATCCAAGCCTTTAACCAAAAGACATTTGTTTCACTATTTCACGACTTTTCGGGTAAACTTTTATAGAGGTATTCGTAATGTGTGCCAAGTGAAAGCGTAGATAGGTTGTGGATTCCTTAACGTGTAGAGTCTCTGAAAAGAATGCATGTCCTAAGCCCACGTCTTCACAAAATCTAGCTGGTTTTGCAAAACATTCACTCAAAATATTTCTTTTGCTGTACTTCTTCTTACAAATTCTACATTTAGCAGCGTTACAATAATCTGCAAAAAATTGCCCCTTTTTTCATAAATCTTCTAATGTTTACATATAATTAACGCTTCTTATAAAAATCTTAAGATACTTGCCCACAAAAGCGTGAAAAATGTATTTTTGCAAAAATATCTGTTTTTATTTCTAGCAATCCCTTCTTACCTATAACCACACACGATCTGCAATTCCAACGTAGAGTTTAAAGTTCCCAGGAACGACTTTCTCTTAACCTCGGCATTTAAATATGAATGTGTCGTTTTCTTGTTCAGCAATCGCGAGGTTTTTCAACAGCATACATTTACTTCCATAAAAACACAATACAATACAACGCTAGCTGACGTTTCGGCAGTATCGCCTTCTTCAGAGCCTGGAAGGGTATACTGATATACAATCTACTAGGCCAAACGCTTCAATAACACTTACACAAAGACGAAAGACTCTTTGGTAATTACACGATCAACAACTTCTCGAAAAACCCACCGCTTTTTCGTGACTTCCAATGAGGAAGTTTAGAGCAGCTGATTATAGTCGCATGTGGTTGACGACTGCACCATCCCACATCAAAAATCGATGCGAACGTACGGGATCAGGTCGCGTATGACCTCCGGGCATTCGTCCCTGCTATTCATTGTAGGGTTTTTGGCATTGATCCAAAAAGCCTCTAGGAGTTTTCGCGCTGGTGTTTTGGACTCCTGTGCAAAGATATTGACTTTTACTTCAAAATCGTCTCCGCTATGCTTTTGTATCCTATCCGTGCCTAGTGGGGTGCTTCGTCTTAGTTTTCGTTTGCCATCTAGGTGTTNTCGTTTTCTTGTTCAGCAATCGCGAGGTTTTTCAACAGCATACATTTACTTCCATAAAAACACAATACAATACAACGCTAGCTGACGTTTCGGCAGTATCGCCTTCTTCAGAGCCTGGAAGGGTATACTGATATACAATCTACTAGGCCAAACGCTTCAATAACACTTACACAAAGACGAAAGACTCTTTGGTAATTACACGATCAACAACTTCTCGAAAAACCCACCGCTTTTTCGTGACTTCCAATGAGGAAGTTTAGAGCAGCTGATTATAGTCGCATGTGGTTGACGACTGCACCATCCCACATCAAAAATCGATGCGAACGTACGGGATCAGGTCGCGTATGACCTCCGGGCATTCGTCCCTGCTATTCATTGTAGGGTTTTTGGCATTGATCCAAAAAGCCTCTAGGAGTTTTCGCGCTGGTGTTTTGGACTCCTGTGCAAAGATATTGACTTTTACTTCAAAATCGTCTCCGCTATGCTTTTGTATCCTATCCGTGCCTAGTGGGGTGCTTCGTCTTAGTTTTCGTTTGCCATCTAGGTGTTCTTTTATACGGATGCGCAAAGTTCTGCCCGTTTCGCCAATATATTCATTTCTGCAATTGTTACACGAGATCAGGTATATCGTACCTGAACTCATGCAATCACCGTCCCTTCCGTAAGGGCAAATTACGCAATTTGTTGTTTCATACAACGGTCATACAGGCGGTTGCGAACCAATTGGCGACGTAGAGTAGTCGGTGGTATTTCAACTATCGCTACCGATTCCTTTAGACCTGTCCTTCTTAAGCATCGTTTTATAGCTGCGCTTACTTCATCGCTTATAAAAGGCAACACAAACGGGATTTTGTTTTGGCCAAGTGTTTCGCGTGGGCGCGTCGTCCTCCTTGTATACTTATCTCGTGGGGTTACTATTTCGTAGCCATTGGAGATGGCTATTTGCCGAGCCAAGTCGCGCGATTCTTTCTTTAGTTTTCTGGTAGTGCACACAGAGGTAGCTGTTCGAAACATGTTTCTCACAATCGCCCTCTTTGTGTGTGAAGGGTGGGAAGAAAGGAGATGAACAAGGATGTTCTTGTTACTTGGCTTTCGATACCACTTTGTCAGTAACCGCTACTTGATAGGTTTACTTGGAAGTCCAAAAACGGAAGCCAGTTTTTTCTCGGCTTCTCCCGGGTGTAGAGTTTAAATCTCTCCCACGGTACCTATAGTTTTTGAATTTGAACTACATTTGTGATAGCTGTTGAGCAACATCGAAACTACTTAGGAAATCTTTCTTACACTAATACATCAAGTACAGTCCTGCCTGGTATAACTTATTGTTCGAAACCACCATGTTTTTCCGGCCTCGCAGCCTCAGCCAACCCAACAAGCGGTTACGAACTAACTGACGCCGTAAAGTATCCGATGATATTTCAACTATAGCTACCGATTCCTCTAGACCTGGCTTTCTTAAGCAACGTTTTGTAGGTACGCTTACTTCATCTCTAATGAAGGGCAAGATAAACGTGATTTTTTTTTGGTCAAGTGCTTCGTCTTAGGGGTCGTAATCCTAATAAACTAATCTCGTGTGATTCCTATTTAGTAGTCATTGGAGATGACTATTTGCCGAAGCAAGTCACGCGATTCTTCCTCTTGTTCCGTGGATGTGCACACAAAGATGGCTGTGCGAAACATGTTTCTCACAAGCGCTCTCTTTGTGTGTGAATTGTGACAAAAAAGTAAATGAGCCAAGGTGTTTTTATTGCTTGGTTTCCGGTACCACTTTGTCATGTTACCGCTGCCTGATAGGTATTTGAACGTTTTAAGGAAAGCCAGTTTTTTCTTGGTTTTCCCCGGGAGAGCTTTACCCACTCAGGCTGCTCGTTCAATAATTCAAAGCATTTGTCCATCTCTTCTTAAGTATAGAAGATGACAAAGCAATCATCTATATATCTACAATTGAGAAAACCAGAGATCGATAACCGGTTCTTCTATTTTAGATATGAATGGAAAAGCGAGAGTTGGTGCCAACCGCTGTCCCATTGCCAGCCCTCAAATTTGCGCGTAAGCGAGTAATAATTCCTAAACCATCTAAAAATCGAGCAGTTTAGGCACACTTTTAGGAGAACCATAAGCTGCAGAATAGAAAAGCCATGCGTATGTATTCCTCCTTCATGTTCAACAAGAAGTTGCAAAATGGCTTGCATTACGGAGTCTTTCGGTACGTTGCTATAAAGCGCGGAAGCGTCGAATGATCCATCACGTAGGCGTTGTTAGGAGACGAGTTGCGTAGACGTCCTAGAAATGCTTGGTGTTCATGAGGTGAGCTCGAATGTGATTAACCAACTGGGTAAGTGTTTGGGCTGGTCACCATATTATTCTATCCGTTGGCCTCTCTACACAGATGATTATGATTCTAAACTTGCAGCATAGTGGATTGGTAGACCCGACACCATCAGCTGATACCAACTTATGTGTTTTGGTGAGTAAGTATGAGACGTGACATACTGGTCAACCTACTTTATAATGTGAAATAACGGGTGATTTTAAACCCGCTACCTTTGCTGCAGTGATCCATTCATTGTTAAGTTTTCGATATTGTCTCTAGTATTCCTTTTCAAACGATGGGCGATGAAGTGTAATATCATTGAAATGTTCACCCGTTATCTTAACATCTAGCTGTAAAGGAATAATTGCGAACTTTCCCTCATTTTCACTAACTGCCAGCCTAATGGTGTTCGAATTTATTCATTCTCTAATTTCTCGTAGAAAGCATTTTTGTGCAGCTGTGAGGTTAGAGATATTCTTTCTTACGCGTTTATAGACAAGGGTTTTGAGAACACCGTCCGAAAACATCCGAAACTTTGCATTAGTTTCGACATTGGGGTTCTGCTGTCT